TAAATTCAACACTACCAAACGTTTTATTCTCCTATATGTCTTTGCGGCCTTACAACAAATACGTTTAATTAGGCACTGAAGCTAAAAAAAAGGTCTGCACGCACTCGCGCTCGCCTGTCATGGGCACCTACCTAATGTACAGTGAAACTTCCATTTAACGAAATTTTCTGTCCAACGAATTATATTTTGAGTCAAATTTAAACTTTTACGCAAATAACCTTTTTASATTTTTACCTGAAAATCAAAGAAAACTGTAATCTCCTACATGGACATTTTTGTAGTTGAAAAGCTAAAATTGATCATAACTTGAAAATAATAAATATATAAAATACAAACACTAATAAAAATATGAATTTATACATACACAAAAAAATAAATATACCTATACGTAGAGTTTACCTCTAAAGTTGGCCACAAAAATAAACTTAAATGATTATGACTGTTGTTTTATATGATTTTTTTTTCAAACAATTTTTATTTTAAGTTTGTACTTTTGTATAATAATATCTATTAATCTTTTATAGGAGTTAACACTATCTTTTRTAGGAGATTGCATTACATTTGTAGGAGTTTACCATTCACCATATTTCGAGAACTACGACATTAATTGTGCRAATCATGCGAAAATTCTATGTTTAACGAATTTTTAATATGTTACAAWTTTTTTTTTTGTTCACCATGCGACTTTGCTGTTTAATGACATAAGTTTAAAGAACAATAATAAGCTGTTAATCACAGAGACATTATTCTTAAAAATAATAGGTCAGCCAAATCAATGCACATTCCTCAATAAATACATAATATACTTGTATGCAGACTAAAGGTATATGATCACGATAAGTACATCTAGAATGTTATTTTAACACGCGGTACACAGAAAAATTATTTCTATATAGGATATACTGTATATATATATACAGTATATCATATATATTATATATATTATATATATTTTATATACTATATATTGCATTTTATTATATTATATTGTCTACRGAAGTCGAAAATTTTCTATGTATCTGCAGGTATAGTAATCCAAAGAGAACAACTATACATAGATATAAGAACTTATCGAATAGTTATTAGAAACTTCTACGCGGCCGACTCCTCGTCTACCGCAATATTCAGTATAATTTGTTGAACAAGAGCTGCTACATGACACTATAATAGATAATAGAACTAATTGGCTGTTTATATCGTAATAAGGTCAATCGAAGCGACTTCTTTTTCAACCTTCCGTT